CTACCAGCCCACCCTGCAGGGACCTGTTTTTCATGGTATAAATATAATAGTGTACACACACACAGAGATACAAGGTACACATCGACAAGCAATACGAACACACGCACAAATACGTGAATACAAAAATTACCTTTCAGCAACACTAGTGTACACATACAGTGTACAAACATACATACACACACACTACTACACTATGGACCCAAGTCACATGTTGGCTGAAAGGCATTTTTCACCAATTTTCTAGCGGCGGGGGGGGGGGGGACCCCAACAAAATAATGGTGAGCGAATGCGTTATTTCCCCTCCATCTCATTGAATGTTGGCGAAAACTGCCTTTCTGCCAACGCATGAATTGGGCCCGTGGTCTTGTGCAAGTAAATGATGACGTGCAGTCGCTATACAATAGGGGTGCACTGCTGCTGGGGTTGCCAACCGTCTGCTTTTCGACCGGACTGTCCAGTTATTTTTTTCCCCTCGACCTTGCCTCGAAAATGTCCGTTCCATGCCTCCAACCCGACGGACGTGAAGTCCGTCTGCTCGTGGGATGCGTTCGCCGTGCAAGACAAGCACACCTCCACCCCAATATGGCATGGAGCGCGCTTGGTGGAACCCACTGGGTCTAGAGCCTGCCTACGGTAATACAACAATGCCGTTAAACATTGGCCCTGAAGGCCATTGGACTGACGGATTGCAAAATGTACAATGTTTTTGAGGTGAGAAATGGAAACTTTTGTCTGTCCAATGTTTGATAATTTATTGATGTTTTAGCCATGATCAGGGTTTATTTTTTTTACTTAATGTTTTCGGATCGCTGGTCAATAAAAAAAGACAGGTTATGAGTAGCCACATCCAGAGCCACAGGAAGAAATATTCTGGATGTGGTTGTGCCGGGTCATCAAAATGAATCACCAAAAATGAAGCTCTACCCATGATCCTATATAGTGGTGCATAATGAGTTATCTACAAATCGTAGACCAACATTCCATCAAGCGGTCGCCGCCCCCTCCTCCAACTGCTCCTGTCCCCTAACTCTCTCCAAACCAATGAACCATGAACACGCCCTTCTGTCCGTTCCTTGAAAATGGGAAAGTTGGCAACCCCAGTCGGTGGTTGGGTATGTGCGCGCGTGGGGGGGGGGGGGGCACGCGGGGGGCACATAGGAGCACGCGCAGGGGGGCACGCACTGACCTTGCTGCCCGACTCCTTGCTGCCACACTCCCCCTTGTCGTACCACCACTTATTTTTGAGTTTGTCTAGAATGCCCTGCTCGCTGAGCTTTAGCACGGCCAGGTTCACCTGCGGGCTGCCCTCGCCCCAGGGCCGCCCGCCACCCACCCACCCATCCCGCCACCCGGACAACCGGACAACCAAAGGATAAATGGATAAAGGGACGAATGGACAAATGAACAATCGGACAGGACAAAAGCACACCCAAACGATCAAATGACCAGACAAAGGGTCAACCGGACAAATGAAAAACCAGATAGAATGACATATGGAAAAAAGGACAACCAAACAAAAGCAAGACGACATAAAAGCACAAGCAGAGAAAAAAATATATAGACAATAACACTACCAGACACAGGGATAACAGGACAAAATGACACATGAGCAAATGGACAAACAAGACACAAAGGATTCATGGCGCAGACATAGGACACAGAGATATATATATGGGACACATTGGAGATGCACAGAAGCATACGAGATGTGTAACACACGTGGGAGACATGGGGCTCACACGAGACGCAAGCACAGAAGGGGATAGGTGGGACACACACAAGAGCACACGCAAGACAAACAGAAAACACAACATACTTTTTGTAAATAAAAATTATCGCACCAGGAATGTAGGACCCATGGAGAAATAAAGGTTCGGGGGGGGGAGCACAATAGGGAAAGACATTAAACATGGAGATGCATGGACACACACCAGACACATGGGAAACATACAGGAGACACGGGGACACGGAGACACAAGGAAACGGAAGCACGGAGGCACAAAACGATGGGTACATGGAGACAAGAGGTTTAGTGGTTGCCGTGGCCCGGGGGGTGGGGGTAGGGGGAGTGGCGGAGACGGTACCATAATTGCCGGAAGCAGCACGCGTGTGAACGAGGTGGTGGTGGTGATGATGATGACAACGGTGGTGATAGTGGTGATGTAGGTGGTGGTGGTGGTGAATACGGTCATCACGGTGGTGATGATGGTTAATTAATAATGGTAGAGAATTTAGATGAGAGTAATTTTAAGTTAATAAATTAGCAATGGCCCGTGGTGATTTAGGACATATCTTAGTAACAATTAAAATAGCATTGATATGAATATTAATTTACAGTAGTCATTTTATTAATAGCAACCCATATTTAGCGATTGTGAGAAATGTGGAGTCATAGTAGTTATAGAATGAAGGTGCTAAGAGTAATTTGCAAACATTGTTTTACAAATTGTCAATATTTTTGTCATATAAAAAATCAAACAAGAAAAAATGATAAATGTATGTAGTGACGATGACGGTGGTGATATTTTGCAATGGTGATGACGATGGTGGTGATATTGATGTTGGTGATGATGACGTGCCACCCTTAACACCCAATGTGACGTCATTATTCCGTGTTCAGCGTTTGCATAGGGGTTAGGAGACAAGGCACGCACACACGTGTACACACACACACGCACATAGACACACACACGCGCACACACAAATACACACAGAGAAATTTCATAAATAATATCACATTTCTTGGTTATATTATGTTATGATTTCTCAAAAACGACTTTATACGAAAGCGATATCCACGCCGCCTTAAATAAAATTTCAATGCAATTTTTTTTGCAAGGGGAAAAAAATGCAACATTGCAAAAACAATTTTCCCTCCCTCTCAAACAAATTGTAAATGTTTGCTTTTCCACGGTTTTCCGTTTGTTTCCCTTATTTGCGTTCGCAGTATCGCTTTCAGTAATCGGCAGCGGAGAGACGCGCAAAAGGGTCAAGTTGTAAACCGAGTAATATAATCGTATCGCTTGCCTTAAGTCAAAACTCCTCTCGTCCACAATGTAGCGGATTAGAAGAGAGTCGCGTATGCATATGAAAATGCACAGCGTCATGCGCCCTTCAAGATGTTGAATTTGTTGTTGCTGTGAAACGAGCGTGGCTGAACCAAAAGTGTGTTTTAGAATTGTTACATATGCGTTTCTCTGATTTGTTGCCTAACGTTAGTAAAAATTGATAACAGTGATGATGATGATGGTAATTTATGATCAGCGGTGACATTATACGTTAGGTTTTAAGAGTCGTGCCGATTACTGTTGGGGGAACCGGGGACTGGGGAGACAAAACGATTATTAAAACACCTGTTATCTATGACCCAACCTGGGACACACGGACGGAACTGACAGACAGACCCTCACGTGGACAGACATACCCTGACAGACACATACGGGGACAGACGGACATACACGCATGCAGACATGGACACAGACGCACGTGGACAGACAGGCAGACAGACACCACTCGCTCACACGGGACGGTCACGCGGATGGACAGACACTCACGGAGACGGGCACACTCGCTCTCACTCTCTCTCTCTCGCTCTCACTCTCTCTCTCTCGCCCTGTCTGTCTAGGTCACTTATCTGGGGTGTGCGATTATCGCGAGGGGCATCAGGCCAGGTCACAGTGACCCAGCGCGTGAAGCCACAGGGCTCAGCGCGGAACCCGTGCAGAATTCTCTTTGTCAGCCTCTGTCTGTTTTGACTCTCTCTGTCTCTCCGTATTTCTGTCTGTCTGTCAATCTACTTGTGTGTCTATCAATATGTCAGGCTGTCTGTTTCTCTTTCTCTCTGTCTGTCAAGTTGTCAATCTGGTTGGCTCTCTGCCTGTCTGCCTGCCTGTATGTTAATCAGTGGGTCCATCCACTTATCACTTTAACTGTACGTCTGCCTACCAGCATACCTGACTCTCGTCAACTTGTCCATCTATCAGCCTGTCTCTCTGTGACTGAACGTGTACATGAGTCCGTTTGGATGTCTGTCGAGTTTTTTTTTCACGCAGTGGCCGTGAGTTCCACTGGTCAATTCAATGAGCAGCTACACACTATTGGCTCCCACTCAAGTCTGGATCACGCACCATCAGGGGCCACGGAAAAATGTGACATTCGTGATGATGGTGAGAAAGTTAAACATACATGTGCAAAATAATTATCCAGCACTGCGCTAAACAAATTGACGGGAGTCCGAGAGAGAGAGAGAGATAGGCACATAGACAAAGACACTCTGAGACAGAAAGATGCATGAAACAAGAATTGGATGTAAACGCAAAGATAAGAGACAACGTCAGAGAGACACCTGTGAAGATAAAGCCAGCAGTAGACAGGACAGAGAAGATAGCGTTTGAGACACACAGGACTGATTTGTGGACAATAACTGACATACAGGCATTGAGATAGAAATAGTGAGATATACAGACGGAAAGCGAGACAGAGAGACAATCCAATTTGGGACTGAGATAAGCAAATATTTGAAGACAGAAACTAAAGAAAACAGCCAGGCTGACTTGGTGAGAGAGGCAGAATGGGAGACAGACACCGAGAGAGACAGACATACGTAAACATCAGTGGCTACACAAGTCAGAGAGACAGATGTAAACAGAAATACTCTTTGGTTCTATTCGGTAAAGTCACGTAGGTAAAAAATAAAACAACATCAGGCCACTTGTGTTGTGGCCGAAACGTCGTGATTTTTGTTTTATTTTTACCTACGTGACTTTACCGAATAGAACCAAAGAGTATGGATCCTTGCAGTCACGAAAGCTTCAAATCTAGAAGTAAACATAAATAGCTTCCCAAGACTGACAGAGAGAGTGGGTGTCTGCACGGGTTATGCGCTGGAGCCAAATAGGGTTAGGGGTTAGGACTGGGTGTCATTGATTAGGGTTTAGGTTTAGGGGTTATGGGGGAGGGTTGATGGTTCGGGGTAGGGAAAGCGGTAGTGGTGCCACTACCTTTGAGTCTCCCGTGTTGCTGCCGCACTCCCCCTTGTCATACCACCACTTATTTTTGAGCTTGTCTAACAGCCCCTGCTCGTTGAGCTTAAGAACGGCCAGGTTTACGGAGTTTCTTCACAGTGAGGGCAGGCGCGGCACAACAACAGCAACACACACGCGGTTAACGCACTTGGCTCGCCATCGCCACAGCACCGCCGACGACGTCACCGCACACTGGCGTCACTCGGCTCCCCATCACCACACCAGAATCACTCACAGCATCATCACTCTGATCCCTATCATCACACCAGCATCACTCACAGCATCATCACTCACAGCAACATCACTCACAGCAACATCACTCCACTCCCCATCACCACACCAGGATCACTCACAGCATCATCACTCCGCTCCCCATCACCACAACAAGATCACTCACAGCGACATCACTCCGCTCCCCATCACCACAACAGGATCACTCACAGCATCATCACTCACAGCAACATCACTCCACTCCCCATCACCACAATAGGATCACTCACAGCATCATCACTCACAGCAACGCACTCCACTCCCCATCACTACAACAGGATCACTCACAGTAACATCACTCCGTTCCCCATCACCACACCAGCATCACTCACAGCACCGCAGTGGCACAATGATAGCGGCTACGATGACGATTATGGTTATGGATCGGGGTGGAACAACGCGTCAATTAACATAGACGAATATCAATTGCATCTTATGCTTATGATACATGCATCAAATCGGTTGTGTTAAAAAATGTTTTAATCTCTATTGGAATAGGGGATGGATTAGTGCTGCAGTGGTTCACGTATTGCACTTATGAATGCAATGATCGGAGTTTGATTCCCGACCCCCACAGCTTGACAAGCGACATCTGAATCGGCCCTTAGCCAGAGCGGTGCAAAATTCCACACACTTCCATAGCAGGGGGAAGCTGTGTGTCCTCAGGATGACGACTGTTTGACTTCCCACAAATTTGTATTAACTTTAACGACCCTAGAAGGAAAGATGATGGAGAATGGCTGAATCGATCACCGATCGTAATTCCGTATTTGTCAAATTGACGCGTTGCGGTGGACACGTCGGTGTGTGGGTTGTAAGGGAATGGATGTGCCCTGCACACTTCCCGGGGGGGAAGGCATTCACTCACGTTCTCCCTGATTTCAGAGTAATGCACGCTCACTCGCATTAGTTCACACAAAAACAAACACAAAGATCCCCCGAATAGCTTTAACGAATTTGGGGGCAAGTGCTGTTAGCGAGCACCCATGAAGGTCGGCACGGCCCACGAGGAGGAGGGTGGCTCACACCATGCCCAGCCACTTTTGTCTCCCCAGTGCTATTTACACACTGCATCAGGTACTCCTTTGGGGCTGAGTCGACCTCCAGAAGGTTCAAAAGGTGGATTGGTTCATACATTTGCCATCATTATTCATTGTTAGCAGGAATCGAACATTTTCATCCCCACGATCACACTGCACTAAATCACACTTTCACACTCACACACATGATTACATACACATTATTTTGTATTCACTGTCATATTCTCAATATTTCCCTCTCTCTTACATTCACTCTCACACTCTCTCTCACATCTTTTCACTCTCACCCACACTCCCGCGCTCACAGGATTCCTCCCTAGGTGGTGAGGGTATTTAGTTATCTGGCTTCATGCATGGATGGTTGGCAAGATATGTTATTGTTATCTGGAGGGTTAGCGTGTTAGAAGGATGCATATATTTCTACGTTGTATCTCTGTAAACATCTATTTGACAATGGTTATTTCATCATTTAGGTTTTTTGGGTTAGATCGCGTAAATATATAAATGTGTCGTTAAACCCGCCACCACCTGACACAGCCAACTAATAAGGGTTGTCACGTAAACAGAACATGCCAAGCCACAACATTTAGATTGTAAATGTTGTGGCTTGGCTCTCCAACACACCTTACTAGTTGACACAGCCAACTAGTAAGGGTTGTCACGTAAACAGAACATGCCAATTCGTCACTTATACAGCACTAACCGGTGTGTTGGAGAGCAAAGGCACAACATTTACAATCTGAGTACGACGTTTCATCAGTAATTACAACTTGCTTCATCCACAAATCTGGCTGTCGCCTGATGAAGATAGTTGTAATTACTGACATTCTGAGTACGACGTAGATTGTAAATGTTGTAGTTTTGCTCTCTAACACACCGGTGTGCTGTACTAGTAATGAATTGGCATGTTCTGTTTACGCGACAAACCTTACGAATTGGCTGTGTCGGGTGGTGGAAGGTTTAACGACACATTTATATATTTATGCGATCTAACCCAAAAAACCCCCTGTATTTTGGATATTGGTCGCGAAAGCCTACATGTTAAACTTAAATGGTTATTTCATCTGTGATTTGCTGCTCAATTGTAAATCTGGTCAGTTTTCTGGTTGGTTAAGTGTGCCACTGGTTTTAAAGTGATTTTACTCGCTGGTAAGCAATCTGGATATCTTGTTAGTTATCTGATTGATTAGATATCTGGCTGTCTGATTAGTTGCTGTATGGGTATCTGTGAATTATTTGTGTGGTTGGCTCTCTCATGTCAAATGGTTAGATATCTGGTTAACTGCCTGTTTTGCCACTATATATGATGTATTACCTGTCTCATTATCTATGTATCTTATATGTTATCTGAACAGTTGGCTGACTTACCAGTTTCCTGATTAGTTATCTCATGACCTGTTTTTTTACTGGCTGGTTTTCCATACATTTTGCTAGCTGTTCCTCTGGAAAGCCGTCTGGTTACCTTGCTAGCTCTTAGCACAACGGCGTGTACATTTATAAGATGCGCGTTCGTGTGGATGTACGTGAGGCGAGATGCTCACTCAATGGATTGCCTTGATTGTAAATTTACCATGATTGCATTGGAACTCCTTGTTTGAATAAGCACCTCATGGTAGACTTCACAGTGCTCATAGGCGCAGGCCAAATAAGGGTTCACAATAACGACCCCAAGCAAGGGCTCATTAGAATACGCACTTCTAATGAGCGTGCAAATTCCAGCACTTCGACGTTCGTTACATTTCAGGGTGGTTATTAGCAGAGTCCCATTGCAGTTGGTAGTCCACATAAGCATAGGATTTGTGATAAAGTGTAGACAGGTGTGGGGGATGTGGGGGGTCTTACCTTGAGAAGGGACAGCCTGGGGGGGCCTGGATTCAGTCGAGGGTCCATGTTTAAAAGGGTAGCGTATGACTTTGCCTCTAAAGATAGCCCGGTCGTGCCTAGTGGCTTATGAAGAAGCCTCCTCAAAGCTGTTAGACAACTTATTTTTTTTAAATCAGATCTTAATTCATATCAATTGTGGATATTAATCTACGCAACATTATGTAAATGAAGCGTTTAGACGGTTTTCTGCAATCTACCAGTGCTCCACTGGGGTTAGAAAATATGCATTGAGAATATAAAAGGCGTAGGTCACTGCAGATATGGAAGACCACCAATGACAATGAGACAGTAATGACTATGATAGTTTGCGTGGAATATAACGACAGCTTTAGGGAAAACATTTTAAGTCATTGAAAAAAAGTAGCAGAGAGGAAACATGTGCAAATACTTTTTTTCCCTCAGTGACAGGAAAAGCATTTTTAACTGCAAAATGTGCCTGTGTTTTTAATCGTTAAAGGGAGTTTGCCTCAATGTCTTGATTGAAAGCCACAATGAATCGTCCTTCAGGCCTTCCTCAGGATGAACATTTTTTCCCAATGGCGGTTTGTTTATTCACTTGGGCCACAAAACGGATTGGTTTCCACTTCACTTAGGCTCGTTAGAAGGGTAGTGCCTCATAAGTTATGCCACCGAGTTTTCCTCACGTTGTGAAACTGTAGCCCTAAAGTTGTGCCACCGTCACTAAGACTCATCAGCGAGGTTTTGCCTCATAATCCTGTTTTGATGTTCAAGACCGGATTCTCAAACTTTACCGTGTATCATGAGCAACACGTAGCCACATATGACGAAGCTAGTTGTTGGCTTGATGCTATTTAGTCTCTGGATTATAAGACGCCCTTCCTCCCCCTGTATTTTAGAGCATACGTTATGAAGATGTCTTATAATCCAGTAGGTGCATGTGTGTGAGAGACCAGATCTGTATCACTTGCTTAACACTGGGCACAAGTTTGGGTTGGGTTGTACTTTCCAGAACGTCTTAGCAATCCGGGGAATCGGATACTTATTTACAGACCGATTATGCGATCAATAAACTGATGCTTGTTTTGTTTTGCACTACTGTACTGTCATTTATTTGTCTAGGCGAGACCGGGACCTGCTGGCAAACTCCCACGCCACCCCTTTAAAGGTGGCACCCCCTTCTACCTGTCTAAGTTGACTCAAGTCCAAGGTGGGGGAGACCCCACGGCCGGAGGCGGGATGGGCACGGAGGAGCGAGTGTGTGGGTGCGTGTACTTGTGTTTGTGTGTGTAAGGATGTGTGTGTGTGTGTAAGGATGTGTGTTTGTGTAAGGATGTGTGTGTGTGTTCGTTTGTATATTTGCGTGCGTTTGTGCGCACATGTGCACGTTTAGTAGTTTGTGTTGGTCTATGTTGGTGCACATATATGTATTGGACTCTTGGCGGGTGTGCGTGTTTATTTTTTTGCGATTGTTGGTACACGTTATTTTTTGCATTTTTTGGTGTGCGTTTTGTTAACGTGCATTAGTTAGCTAACACAGCTGCATTGTAGATTTAAAGCTTTCGTAACTGCTAGGATCCATACTCTTTGGTTCTATTGGGTAAAGTCACGTAGGTGAAAATAAAATAACAAAAGGCCGCTTGTGTTGTGGCCGAAACGTCGTGATTTTTTGTTATTTTATTTTCACCTACGTGACTTTACCCAATAGAATCAAAGAGTACAGCTGTATTGTGTATATATCTGTTCACCTTGGGGTGCAACAGGGATGTCTTCCGGTAGCCTACACTATTTAACATCTTTTTTAAACACATAGTGCAAGATGCTTGGTGTGGTCAAGGGATGGCCAATTATTGGTTAACCATATTACCTATGCTGTTGATCTGGTAATGGCTGCTCACTTTGAGGAGTTGGAGACAACTACTGATGGAACGTGCTAATAAGAGATGGGACCTGAGCATCTGCCCGACAAAAACAAAAAAAAATCCTGGGTAGTTTATGTCATCAAATACTCCACTGTCTCAACTCCCCACAAGTGATGGGGCAGTTGTGGAGTGAGTGTAAAAGTTTCTGCTCCTGGGCAGCATGCTTAGGGCTCGCTCCAGTTTCGCACCAGAGGTTTCACTCCAAATCAGTCGAGTGGCATCTTATCATCAGCTGTGTAACGCTGTGTGGAAGCTACCTATCACTCCATACGAAGTTTCGGGTCTTCTCGGCCACAGTCGTGCCCTCCCTTTATGCTTGTGAAATGCAGACCCCTTTGAAGGAGCATTTGTGCCAGATTGAAACATTCAGGCTGACGTCTCTATGATCCTTCCTGGATATAACTAAACTGCATTTGTGTGAGCTCCCAGATCCTTGAAAGATATGGACACAGTCCCATCAGTGACCTCCGGCAGGTGGCTGGGTCATGTAGCCCACATGCCCAGCCACCACACGCCCAAGCAGTTTCTATTTGGCCAGATAAAGGGGGATAAACGGGTGCAGCACGGGCTAGAGGAGAGACGGACTTATGTGGTGCAAAAGGATCTGGAGCTAATTGGACTTGCTGATGACTGGTACCAGCTATGTAAAGATCGGCCTCTGTGGAGGAAGCTTATGAAGGATGCTACTGGGATGTTGCAGACAGATGCTCTCCAGCAATAGTGAAGGACAAAAGCAGGTAAACTAACAGCGTATGGAACACTGGGCAGCTAAAATGCAGCAAGTTGGCAGTGGGGGGGGCACAGATGGCGCATCTCATTCAATCAACCAACCAACTCATAACACATGGTTCCGTCCCGTTACCTCCACTCAGCGAGGCTTCCTAACTTCACGTGGCCTCAAGGTGCATCTAGCCTGGCACAAACACCATGGTGATGTCACCGCCACTTAGTGGCAAATGGCAGTTATGATGGTGTGTGTATTGTGCATTGGACTTTATTGGTTTTGTGTGTGGGTATTGCGGTGTATTGGTCTACATATACACTGGTGTATATTGCTGAGTATTGGCGTTTGTATTGTCTTTCTTGGAGTGTGTGTATATTGCAGAATAATGGTATGCGTGTATATATTATTTGTATTTGTGCGTGTCTATATATTGCTGTGTATTAGTACTGCTGTGTATTCCAATTCATTGTTTGTATGTATGTGTATATTGCTGCATCACAGTGTATATTGATCTTAGTAATGGTGTATTGTTGTGTATTTGCATTGGTGTGTGTAAGTATTGATATGTGAAGTATCTGCAGAAGTATTTGTATTGGTGTGAATATTTATATATTGCACCTTTGTGTGCATGTATTTATTCTTGTGTATATGCATGCATGTGTACATTCATGGGTGTTTGTATTTGCGTGGGGCTGTATTGGTGTGCATGTGCGTGAGTGTCCAGAATGTGACCGTTCCTCCTGCCCTTCCCCAGGCCACACGAAGACCCCACCACAACCCCACACCTCCAGCCTGAAAACCCCAAGCCCAACACAGCCTCACAGGTGCCACCTCCTCCCTCGAGCCTCCTCCACTGCATTTATCTTCAACTCACATTGGCCTCAATTTCACTTTCACTTCATGGACACGGGTTCAAATTACGTGCCACACACTGTTTTCTTGAAGTGCTGAAAAACTTCGGGCTTTGATTACATCCCAATTTCATAATGTGTAAATGGCCGAATGGCACTGTGGGTACAGGGGTCAACTCGGTTATCAAATTAAGTGTACCATTCTGCAATAAGTTAGAAGTGGTTGCCATGTGAACAGACTGTCCCCTGTTTACCGGCTCAAGGCCATGATCATAAATGAATGCTGCTTAACATTCGTTTTGGCGGACAAATGAATTGGCTTTTAAACTATTTCAAGTAATAAATTTGGTGTCTTTTATTTAACCACCTGAGAAACCTATAATAGAGGTTTTTGAGTGAGATTGCGTAAATATAAATGTGTCGTTTAACCCGCCACCACCCGATGCAGCCAATTAGTAAGGTTCGTTACTAGTCTTGCACACTGGTGTGTTGGAGAGTAATTCCACAACATTTATAATTCGCGTACAACATTTGGCCAGTAATTACAACTAGCATCATCAGGCAACAGCCATATTTGTGGAGAAATCCTCCTGTTTCGTCCTTAAATAGAGGGATAAATATGATGTCGTCACTTGTGAGCCAATCAAGTGCGAAGGCCAAAGGGGGGTGCATATAAATTACAATGGCTATCCACTGTAGTTCCCTGTCTGTTTTGCTTTAAAGATCTCACAGCCTGTCATTAAGTAGATGTAGTGCTTTTCAATTACTTGCAGGGAACGTTTAAACTTAGAAAATGTGTGCATTATGCCAGAGGCTCCCAACAGTCTACTTTTGTGCGCTTCATCACACGGTCTTTGAATTCTGCTTTACAACAGATTAAGCACCTTGGTTTGAACAGTTTTTTAGAACTCTAATAGGGCTCCTAAAAGCCTACAGGGAAGTAAATCAAGGTGCATAGAGGTTTGGGAAAGTTCACTGAGGCTCCTGAATGCATGTAGGTACTCAGGAAGGTGCATTGAGATGGCCCACAGGGGGTCTTTAAGGATTATAAATACGCGAAAAGCCTCTTGAGCCTTACGAGGGGTCGTGAAGCCTTGTAGAGTTTTGAGGAGGCTTGTGAAAGCACACTGGGGGTGGAGTAGTGACGCAGTGGTTTATCGCACCAACCTGCTCATCTGAGCTTGATTCTTGGCCATGGCTAACATCTGAACAAGCTTTGGGCACCTCCTTCACCAACCCGCATTGACTGACATGGTGATATGTCCAAATAACCTCCGTAACTGACACTGCATGGGATGGGTTGACAAAGAGCTGTACATGATATATGATTATGAAGGCAAATTAAGGCCTACTAGAGGCTTGTGAAGAGCCAACGGTATACAAAGAACCCTTAAGGTCAGTGAAGGTTCATGGATACTCATTAAAGAAAGTGAAGGTTTGTAAAGACCATATAGAGGCATGAGAAGGGCCATCAATCCCTAAGAGGACTGAAGAAGGCGTATGGAAATTGTATAATGCTCATAAGAGACTCATGAAGCCTACGGGTGCCCATTATGACTTATTAACAGTAGTCTAGCTATCGAGCATGCAAGCAATGCAACTATGGAGAGGGGGAAATTCGGATAAGGGGCTTCATTTAATTTATTGCAACCTGTACCCATGCCAACCACACCACGCTACTGGCAAGACATTTTATAAAATGTCACATGAAGCCTACCGAGGTTTAAGGTTTTCTTTTTTACAAGGCCTATAAAGACTCAATGAGGCTTGTGGCAACCCGTGGGGGTCTGAGTGGGCCCCCTTTCAAAACGGGAAGCGGGGTTAGCGGCAGGAGGCTTCTGGGATGCAACTGGGGTTGTGGTGGGGTGATCTCAGCCGCGGGGACCCACGCACCTAAAACTGGAGCCCTTGGGTGTTGCGATGCCATAGCCCTTGGAGTCGAGGTTGCCGCCGACTTTCATAGTGTCACACGGCTTGCGCTGCTCGATGTACTCGTTCATCGTGGACTCGAGCAGGTACGCGTACTTGCCCTTGGACTTGCGCACGCGCGCCACCCCCTCCGCCGTTGTCTTAACGAACACAGATGGCTCCGCTGACTTCATGTACGACCACATCTTGTCATACACCGCAATCTTGGAGCGCTTGAGAGGTCAAGATAGTTATAAAGGGGTCGCAGGGGTTACAGGGACCATACAACAGGGATGAGGTGGTGAGAGAAAAGAGATTGTTATTGAGTGAAAGTTGGACACGAAAAAAGTTAGGCATATTCCTGTTCAATTAACCATGGGGCTGCAAAAATCTCTGCTTGTGGCCATGACCCAGTGGTGGAAATTCTACATTCCTATGGTGGGAGCTAGTTAACCATTGGGGCAACGCCTCTTGAAATCCTACAAAATGGTACCAATTTCATTGATCCTGGAGGAATGATAATGATGGGCTAAGTCAATCCCTGAACGATATTTGAACCTGTGAGCTTCTGAGAACGTGGCCAAAACAACTCCCGGCCAAGAAAGAAACCACAAATGTTCACACTGATCCTATCGTTCTATACTTTACTCAGTTCACTGGCTCCTGTCATAGGAATATGACACTTCCACCACTATCCATGTCATTGGGATACACTCATACATTTGACCTTTGTCTTGTGATTTTTACCCAATTTTGTCATAACAATTTAAATTGCAATACAGTATAATGCAACTTACAGCCCTTATGTCAGTCTACTGTTGGATGAAGGAATCATGCCCATGCAGAGTTCGAGGTCGTTTGGCAATTCTTCATTACACTGGTCTGCGTGGGTTGGTGAAGTGGGGCCCAGGGCCAGTTCAGACATCACTCGCCACCGATGTTAACGGTGGCCAGGAATCAAACTCTGGTTGCTGGGTTTATAACGCAGCGTGCGAACCGCTGCACCATCACCCCAACCCAGTACAGTACAATACAGCATGTATTTATATATCATTTAAAGCAATGCCTTCATTTTATAGAGTACATAAAATGGAATGGATAATCGTGGGTTGCTCTTACCCAGATTTAATACAGGATCTCAGCAGCTATAGAATTACTATTATGAGCCCAAATATAGAGACAGATGACCAGGTCAAGGACTAGAACTAATAGGGTCACCCAAATACCATAACCTCTACCTCAATTTGAGTGACCAACCCCATGCTGTCTTGTCTCCCCACAACTCCCTATGTCTCTCCATATCTCCCCATGCCTCCCCCGCTTCTCTCTGGTTTGTTCAGCTTCCACCCACATCTCTTGTATCTCTCCATGTTTCCCTGCTAGTCCTCTCCTCTCTCCATTTCTTCCTGTTTCTATCCACATCTCCCCATCTCCCTATGTCTCCACCTCCCCCCACGACCCCTGGATCTCACCCGGAAGAACTCCTTGGTGGAGCCAGCTTCAAGGGTTCCGTACGCAATCTCCGTCTGCTTAGCCAGGTCCTCGGCGCTCTCGATGGGCGACACCATGCGCTCGACCGTGAGGAAAGCAGCCAGGTTGGCCGTGTAGGACGAGATGATGATGAGGGTGAAGAACCACCAGACCCCACCAACGATACGGCCAGACAGGGACCTAGTACCGCACAAAAACGCGTATACAAAACAGACATACGCACGAACACAGGAGTCGAAGTGCCGGAATATGTGAGGCATATAATGGTTCATCTCACTCCCCTACAATTGGATGAATTGTCACAGTTCAAGGTTACAATCAATTCGGGAATAACCATGCACCCTCCACCCCCTTATCTCACCTCCCAGTATTTCTGGGCACACTATGGGAAAGCGCATGCAACACACCTAGGGGAGATGTCGCAGCCCTGGCGCATGAAGGCGCCCAGGGAGAACCAGAGACTGTTGAAAATGCCGAACTCGTTGGGCTGCTCGGTGGAGACGGTTCCCACGAAGGCGGTTCCAGCCATACCGGCACCGCCGGCCCCACCGTACACCGAGCCCACCAGGCTGAGGCCACCCCCGTTGGCGATGCTGGCGCCCAGGTCCCTGCCCCCGAGACCTGGGGGCACACGGGTATGCCGGTTGTGTGGGCTTGTCGGCAAACAGGTACACAGGTATTTGGGTATATAGGTACACAAATATGTGGGTATTGTGGGTTCATGGGTATGTGATGTATGTTATGTGGATACATGGGTAGAGGATGTGATTGTACGGGTATTGAGGTTTTCAGATACATGGTTGCATGAGTAAATGAGTACTTGAGTACACAGATATACAGCTGAGGAGGTGAATGAGGCAGAGGAGGTGGAGTAGAAGATCATAGAGGAAGAGCGAATGGAGAGTAAATCATCCCCCTAACGTGTGAAAAACTGGCATCCACCCATTGGTGATGGTAATATGGTGATGGAGCACATGGATGACAATGATGACGGTGATGATGATGATGATGATGAACAGGAGGCAGTACTGCAGGACTTTCACCTCCTCCGTCGTCAAAGGTGGCGGCGCTGTCGTCGGGTCGCCACTCGTAGGGGCTGAAGCGGCTGACGAGGAAGAGCACGACGCTCACGCCGATGTAGGCAAACACGATGCACATCCAGATCTCATAGGCGAGCGGGTCGAGGAACGAAAACACCCCAGGTTTGGACTTCTGCGGCTTCTTGATCATGATGGAGATGCCCAGACTCATGAATGGCTTGGAGAAGTCGATGACCTCCTCGCGCACCAGCGTGATCGTCAGCGGAGCCACGGCCAGGTCGGCTTTCTGCGTTGCCACGAACACAGGAGGGTCAGGAGTCAGGGGTCAAAGTCAGGCAGTGGTGTAGCTATCGGGGATGTGGCACACCGGAGAGCAGGAGAAATGGAACACGGGGACCCCGTTGCATTCCATGCATCAGGGACCATACACACCACATAACACCACGAGGGTTATGGGTAACGTTTGGGTTAAGGTTTTGGTTGTCAAAGATGGCCGGGTGGCTCAGGCATCAGAGCACTGCGCCGAATGTAGGGGATCAGAGCACTGCGCCGAATGTAGGGCTTTAATCCGGGGTTCGGCCAGTCTATGATTAATCCGCGTTTTCTCAAGCATAGTGAGATGATAGTCTCAGTTAGATCACTTATAACAGTCAAAAAATTGTGGGGTTTCTTTGCTGAATTATGCACGTCAGCTCTGACAAGAATGTATGACTATGCAGACAATGCAGGCGGTTTCGCAGCACCAGGTGGTGTGGCTGCCAAAATACTACGACCACACCGGTCACTGTGGCTGACACACAGACATCTACACCGTACTCGCCGGGGAGTGTGTCCTCTCACAAACCTTTATACCACACCAGGTGGCGTGCCGTGACCAGACACTTTTTACTGTATCAAGCGGTGCGGTCGGAAAAAAAAGACATCGCGACTTTTATCAGTCGCAGGCCGACAATGATTTCCACTACACCAGGCAGTTGCAGCTCACACAGATATTCATACCATACAGAGGCAGCGTGGGAGGGATCAGAGACCAATGCGTGGTACATGCGTAGGGGACGGTGCGGCCGACGGCGTTTTGCATCTCACCCCATAGATGAGTTCCCCCACGATGCCGTTCCACGTGCCCGATTCGGAGTTCTTCTCGCCGTACTTGGAGTCGGGCACGATGGCGAGGTGGTATTTGATGTTCACGTGGCGTGCGATCTCCAATGCCAAGTCCACACAGTAGCCCTCGTAGCGCTCGTTCCCCTCCAGTAATTCCGAGTTCTTGCGCAACATCACGTACGGGGCCTCCTGTCGGTGGTGGGGGAGGGAAGAAGGCCGGGGGGGTGGTAGGGAGAGGTGAGGTTCAGGGAGATGGGTGAGGACATCGCTGTGTGAGTGAGCGCGAGTTGGTGCGAGTCCGAGTTCTTGTGCATCATCACGTAAAGTGCCTCCTACCGGAGTTGATGGGCAAGATGGGGTGAGAATGTGGGTTTGTTTGTGTGTGTATATGAGTGTGGGGAGCGGTTGTGTGGGGAACGGTAGTGTAGCGGTTAGCGCACTGTGCTACGAACCTGGCGACGCAGGTTTGATTCCCGCTACACCAGTGATGATTATCTGAACCGGTGCTGGGCCTCCCCTTGGTCGACTCAGCCTCAAATGAGCACCTGGTGCAATATGTAAAACTTCGCCACAAGGCAGACAAAAACGGCCAGGCATGGTGTTGGCCACCCACCCTCTTGTGTGCTGTGCCGGCCTTCATAGGTGCTCACTAACAGCACTTTCCCCAAAAGTCTGTTACAGGCTATACGGGAGATCTTTGTCTTTTTGGGGAGCGGTAGTGCAGCGGTTAGCAGAAAACCTTGCTCTATTTGGAAAAATGGGGTTACGTTCCTGGTACGAGTGAACTAAGGGGGGAAATGGTACATTTTTGAAAACAGTAACTTCAATAAATAGTAAATAATACGGAACAATGTGTTATTTCATTACTGATGATGATTTGACGACAATGGAGGTGGTGGTGATGGTGAGGGATTCAGGAGGATGACTCCTCGCAAGATGCACGTGTTTGGTCAACAACGCACAGTTGTTATCCTTTCAACACTCTGGGGAGCACTAACCGCATTCGCTTCCTTTAGAATGGACCTCACAGTTAACTCGTTTATACCCAAACGTCTCAACGTAAAAGGCCACAATAGCAAGTTCAGAGTGGGATTACTGCGAGACCGAGGACTAAGCGGGCAGCCGAGAGGGCGTGCCTAATCTTCGCAGACCGTTTCAAATGTAAAATTCTGCACGCGCCTCTCCGGTGTCGGTGGTCTGGCACGACGTACACTCGGAAACACTGGTCAATCCACTGCTGTCCGGCAGGTCGCGAATAGGGAATTAGTATACATTTAGTAACTCGCAAATGTGTGAAAATCGCAAATCCAAAATTCACGCATCGTAAGGGTTTAATGTAGTGTATTCTTTGTGGGCCTCTAGAGTTTTGGGTCCTGGATCAATGTCCTGTTCCCCCCCCCCTCCCCAAGATGCACTGACAGAACAGACACAGGTCCGCACCCCCTCGTACCATGATGGTCGACACCACATACGTGTGATTGTTGGATTCGGTCAACTCCTTCTCCACGACGTTGTCCGTTGGCATCTTCAGCCCCATGGACTCAGTGTAGAACCCGGTCTGGGACACGAGCACACGGGGACACAAGGGGACATAGAGATACATGAGAACACGTGAACGAGATGAGGACACGGGGGAGCACGTGGAAATATGTGCGAACACGGGAATGCAAATACTTGGAGAGAGGATGCAGGGATGCCAAAGAACACGTGAAGAAGCATGCAGCATACAACAAAATCAGGTGCGCACAGGAATGTATAAGGACAGGCACAGACGCATGCAGACAAATGTAAGGACATTGGGAAGCCATAGGATGTGAATGCAATTGAAGGACAAGAGAGGGGTGATACAAGGATGTAGGGCAGAAAGGTGAACAAGGCGATACACGGAGACACATGGGGACATGGAGGAGATAGGAAGGACACATGGAGAATACGGTGAGATGTTGACAAATGTAGGTCTCTCTCTATACTGTCTCAGTGCACGAGACAATTATAGCCTCTTTATTCTTATTGGCTAATGGGGTGAGTGATGTCTTCCAGTGCTGATACCACACCACTGCAGCAATATTTATGATTTTATCTTAGGCTGTGTTGATCTAGGGAAGACCCAAGCCAGGTTAGGGTACCTATCCATGAGTAACAATGATGACGATGATGCAAAAACGCAGGTCTCTGGGATTATAACAAAAGAGCACTCACAGTCAACTACACCACCACTCCTCAATATATTGCGGTGACATCACCTAGGTTCAGTTTGGGCTATGTAAAGTGTTGGGGAGGTTCGCTGGCAGCACATATAACAAACTCAGGTGTTAAGGGTTGACTTACTGAGATGACTGGCAAATGCACCATCTACACTTCCCACTGTGCCATCTTGCTGTGTTTAGTCGGCCGGCATTCATCTCATTGTTGTGTCTCTGATTCTATTGTTGGAGGATGGCCACTGTAAACTGCCACATCGCTCACACGTTCGTACACATGTCCACATGCTCAGACAAAGACCCCCGTAGGTAGCCTTTACCAGACTGTAAGGGCAATGGCGGTGAGCAGCCTGTTACACACACGCAATCATCCACACGAATACACGTGCTCGCACGTGCATGCTCCCTTACACACACGCAGTTGCACATGCAGCACACGTGACCTCACCTGCTTTGGGCCAGTCTCCTTCATCTCCATGACCAGGATGGAGTAGTTCGTCCGTCTTCCAAAGCCATCAAACTGAATGTTCTGCGTGAGTCCTGACACACGCACCTGCACAGGTGTGTGTGTGTGTGCGTACACGCGCACATATATATGCATGCATTCATAAATACATACGAATATATCATAGTTTACAGCCACTTGATAATCCACTGTTGGATGAAGGCCTCACCATAGTGCCAGTGCGGTGTACTTTTGAGGCCACATGAGAGAGAGGGTGAGGGAGGCCTAGGACTGCTTCAAATATTCATAAACGTTGATGTTTGCCATGACAGGGTATCGAACTCCAGTTGCCGGGTTATTAGCATAGGTTGCAACCTACTGCAAACATTGTTATCCACTGTGCCACCGCTCTACCCCCATATACACGCATGTCCACGTGTCCCCTCATCTCCTCGTCCCATGTGTACCCATGTGTGCCCCTGTGTCCCCCTGTCACATGTTTGAGAGCTTGCTCGATCTCGATGCCCTGGTTCCAGGGCACGGCTGGATTGGCGAGGCAGTCCCCGGCCACGCCGCGCCTCAGGATGTCCGTGCGCCGAGTCCGCAGGTAACGGAACGCCTCGGCCAGCACCAGCACTGCGTCGTATGACAGCGCAGACGTGTACTGCACGCGCACAGGGACAAACACGGACAAGCGCAGGAACACGCGTGGTCATGTGGGGGACACGCACAGGGAGAAGACGATTTGGAGCCACACACGGGAATAAAGAGATAAGGGGACGGAACTGGGGGATATAGGATTTGAGATAAAGGAGACAGCACACACAAGGGGAAATGCACAGAGATGAGGAAATAAGGTGGATACACATAGGCGGCCAAGAATAAGGGGATAAGGGGACATGCAAAGACAAGGGATGTGGGGACACTCACAGGTTGACATGGAGACACACACAAAAACTCGCGTATCACTTCATGTCCCATCCAGTCCCTCCATCCTCCATAAAGGCCCTGTGCATCTCTCTCCGTATGTCCCATCATGATTCCGTGGATACCTTGAAGGGGCCGTCATGTGATCCTCGGAACTCTCTCCCATCCAACTGTTTCCAGCGCTGCATGAATTTCTGGACCATGGGCTTAGTGTAGTCGACGATCTGGAAGCCGGTGACATTTGCGCCGCCACGCTGCAGGGTCTCGAGACTCATGTCCGAGAAACCCTGTGGGGAGATGGGAGAGACATCGGGATTCAGGGCATAGCGGGAGACACGGGAAGATATAGGGACGCAAGGAGACATGAGGACATGGGGGTGGACGTGGACGTGGATACATTAGGATGACACGGGGATGTGAGGAAAAGGCATAGACACAAGGAGAAACGGAGGAGACGTGGGGAGAGACAGGGATACAGGGAGGCATGGGGAGCAGGGAATGATATGGGGATGTAAGGACACTTAATTGTAGTTGGTATGGGAGGAGATGACATATGGAACACAGAATGGGGAGATGTATTGCCCCGTGGCCTTGCTACTCACCAGATTGGCGAGGATGTAGTGATATCCCTTGACATTCTTGCCGATATTGATAATCTGGGTGATGGTCTTCTGCGTGACGGCTGGCTCGCAATCCAACACCACGTAGCGGGGGTCGTGCGCCGAGTCGATCGACGTGAAGGCCGTGCGGAGAGCTTCCTCGGCTCCATTCTCCTCCACGTTCACCGCGCTCACCTGGGACACGGGCAAGGGGCCGCGCGGACACAGGCCAGAGATGCACACACTCGCGATCCTCCATGTTTACAGTGTCACCTGGGACAACACGAGACCACGTGGACACAGTGGGACACACCCAGACACACAGGGGTGCATGGGACTGAGAAACACACACAACAAGCCTCCTCGATATTCGTAAGAGACACGGGGACACACAAAGACACCTGGGACGCACAGAGACACAATTGGTGCACGTGCCTCCACCATGCTCAGCTGACACCCGGGGACATGGAGAAACACAGGGACAAATGGGAGAGACCTGAGGATCCAGATTACGAAAAGGGACCAAGGGACAGGTACTACTTGAAAGATGTGGCAGGACACACTGATGCAGGAGGTTATTGAAAAAAATTACATACACAGGTAAATACGTACATGCATGGATATAAACGTACACTTGCATGTGTTTATGTGGACAAGTGCACATGCGTACCTGCCAGCCGTTATGAGCAGCGGCTTCCAATACCGTCTGTAGGACGGAGAGACCTGCACACACATAACCACCATCAGCACCACCCATCCACATCATCAGCACTATCGACACTATCAACATCATCATGACCATCAATATGTCCATTGCGATGGACCGATTAAACTGGCACGTGTGCAGGAGCCAGATGTATTGTTACATCGCAAGATGAAGGCCGTCATCCAGCAGTGGATTGACCAGGGCCAACGTTGACAATGACGAACGATGCGGTTATTGCGGCGGTAGTGGCCCTCGCCTCTGTGCGTGTCGAAGAAGTAGAGGAGGCGGGAGGCGTTGGCGCGGCCCAGCACCCCGAGCAGTGCCCCGCTGACCGGTGGTCTCAGCTGCAGCACGAATTGCATGGGGCCATCGGCCGGATGCGACGGCGTCAGCAAGGAGACGTGAAGTGCCCCGCAGAATGACGTCAGCGTGTGCACCGAGTGCTTGTCGTAGAAGCCGAAGATAGCGTACACGCCGCGCGTAAACTGTGAGCAGACTGCAGGCACCGTACACAAAGGTCTCCTGTGTAGCCTATACCAGCTGTTAGCGAGCACCTATTAAGGCTGGAACGGCGCACGAGGGGATGGTGTGGCTAACACCACGTTCCCCTTTGTCTCCCAAGCAGGGATGTTTACATACCTTGCCAGGTGTGTATTTAAGGCTGAGTCAACCTAGTGCATATGCACTTGGGTTTCGACCTGTCCTGGTTTTCCCAAGGTCAGCCACTTGCTGAAGTAGCCATCTTTGGAAGTCTGTAAGTCTTCCCGGGATATTAAACATAGCAGTGTTTGTCAATTGTGAAACAATAATAATAATATATCCCTCAACACAATGGATTTACATGCAGCATTGGGAGATATTCTTGCCATGATAAATTTCGTTTGTACCTCAGAATAGGAAACTCTAACATGCGTGAACACGTGCAGGAAAGACATGGCAATGTGTACATACAAATAAGAGTGGTGGACACATTTTCCTTGCCAAGGGCTCAACGAGACTTTAAAATATCAATGGCAGGCCACATGTTAGCACATATTCCTCAAATAAAAGAGGCCCTTGCAGTGGCAAGTGACGGAGGGAGATAAAATTAGAAACAGTGGTACAGGTATCAAATATTCTCCCCCAGTACCTTATTAGTGCAGCTAGGGTTGTTGTGAAACTACAACTATGGATCAAATAGTAAACCATTGTAGTCTGCACTCCTTCAACAGAGGAATAGTAAATCTACATAAACTCTGCCCTGAAGCCCTCTCGTGGCAAGCAGACCTAGACATCGGTATTAAGCTCCTGAACATGTTGGCAGATGCAAGAATTGTCTGCCTAAGATTCTTGAAGTCATGGATAAATATTGTGTGAAGGCCGTTTCAAATTGATAGGCCGTATGCAATTAGGTCACAGCCTAGATACAATCAACCTACAATAGCTTCCCTACTCCTTATGTATAGATACATACATTTGTACTAAGCCAATGACCAAATCATCCAGATTACTAAGCATTGAGCCTGGGTAGTGCTTAGATTGGTAACCACCACACAGACAAGGTGGTATAGGCTGTGGGGCCTCAATATGGACTGCAGAGGGCAGTGCAGCAAAATCCATGCTTGTACAATGTTTCCACGTCTTTGCTAACTGTCCTCACCGACCCGCACTGATCAACGTCGTGAGGTATGGTCAAATTGCCTCCACACCCCGCACTGTATGGGAAAGCGCTCGTCAAGCAGTGGATTGACAAAAGGGCCGCACAAGTACTATGTACTATACACACACAGGGCAAAATAATGATGAGTCGGTTCATCAATTAAAATCCATTCCTGGGTTCACGATGCATGCATGGAATTGCGCATGGCCTGCAAGAATTAATTATTCTTTTGCGCAATTAACATGCCAATGTTATACTGTTTATACAGGCTAAGGGAGTAAATCTAATTGTACAAATGAGACAAAAACAATGAAAATGAGATGGTAAAAACATTTTGCTCATTGCCAATAATCTTGAGCGGAAGCTGATGGACCCCAAAAGCAAGAATAACAACCCAAAGCTCTGAGATGCTGATGAGGGTTTTTTTTCTCTTTCGTTTTGTAAAGCATCTTGAGATGTTGTATTTCAAATTTGTATGCATTCAAATTATCGTTGTTGTATCGTAGCTTTGACCAATTTAATAAACATGTGCATAGGTCATTTTTTTAATTCCCTACCCCTCTGCTGTAGCAGACAAACAAAGGGTATGGCATCAGTGCGGGGTCGACTATAACTGAATCCACATTGCGGCTCCACACGCTTGTCAGGATGCCTCGCAAGACAATGAATTATCCTTTCCTTGCAAGCTAAGGGAGATGCTGCAGTAGTTGTTAAAACCAATGCCCATCTCCCTTCTTCCAAAAAGGAACACCGTGGCTTCCTTACAATTCTGCAAAAACCATTCAGTGGTCTAAACAGATTTTACGATGTCATATAAGGCAGCCTCCACACAATCGGCACAAACCCTTGGAAATTCGCTTAAGTGGTTATCCCTGCTTGACCCTTTACCTGGTCTCAGGCTACGGATTGCTCTGTGCACCTCCACAGCAGAAGGCATACCAGCCAGCCGCTCACAGGGAACATTTTAATTCCTCCAACCTTTGGGGCTCCACATCCTTTGCAGAGTCATTTTTGCTTGGGATGTGGGGGTCCCCGCCTCCAAAACCTCACAAATATTCTAAGAAAATCTACAGACTTGGTCATCGAGTTCAGATATCTAATTACCATTTTCTCATTTAAGGATGGTAATTGTGGTGGTGCTGTGAACTTAAGTATAGATGGCATTAACAAATTATTTGTGATCATGAAGTGCTGAAACAGTTTCCAGCTCAGCATTTCTTGACCACCGTACATCCCTACAGCACCAAATTACTCTTTAAACCTCCGAATGAAGGTTGTGATGTCTCCTGATTCCCGGGGGTATGATATGTTATATATGGTGAAAATAGGCCTGCCACCTCCTCCACCAACCTGAGTTTCTGGGGAAGTCTGGATTCGGTATCCCGTGCAACCATAACGGCTGCATAAGCCAAAGTTCTAAACCTCACCCCTTTCTGCTCGACGTTAGGGGGATTGAGATAAATAAGTCAGTATTAGCTGCAATCGTTGATCAAATTCTCACTTGAGATGTAATGCAGTTGGATGAGACCAGGCTACTGTTGGGTTGAACGGGGTCCGAGTTGATTGCTCCCCCCCCCCATGGTGGAAAAACAGTAGGCACATCTTACAGATGGCAAGCCAATGATCAGTGGACTGATTAGTGGACTGATCAGTTTCAACGGTATGCACTTACTCTAACTGTTCTACCACCGTATAGTCCAACAGATATTCACGATTTACCCAGCAAGCACCCAAGATGTTTTTTTTTGTGGATGCTCTGGTGGCGGAAAGGCGTGATCACAGGTCTGTGAGCTGTCCAGGATTCCGCAGCCTTCCACTCTTTATATTGAACTGATCATGCCTTATAATCACTTCCACACAAGCGCTAGGCGTCCACAACCCACTCGACTATTAAAGTCACCCCAATTAAGATGTCTGCCCCAAGAGGCCACTTTAGCCAACAACTCAGACAGAAAGTTTTAGAAAGCATCTCTACAGCTTTGCCTGCATCAATCCACAGATGTTCACCTTCAGTTGGAGTGTAGGCAACCCCACCACCATCATTGTTCGCCTTCTGTTGATGGAGGGATACTCCCATAACAGACTTGAGTATCACCTCACACCCCTCACCGACACGCTGCCACACACCCTTAATGTTTTTTTGTTCAATAGAAAGAACACTCCCTTTTGTTTGCTGTTACCCTGGCCTGAGATAACTGTCCACCGCTCGCGGTGACTGGAGACAGAACCCAGTCAACTGGGCCTCCTCTATTCCACAGATGTCCAAGCAGTAATAGTTTATGGGTTTTAATCCCTAGGCATTGCCAAAAGTGATTTGGCCAGAGGCTATGCTAGAATAGATGTCTGCCCCCAGGAGACCTCAAGTGTATACTTATTTTTGATTTTCTCATGTGGTTCTCTGGTAATGAAATTTAAGAGATGGAAAGGTTACCAACCACTCGCACCTGACCACAGCATAGACGCACACACAGACACATAATGTGTTCACACACGTACACATGGTTCCACACGTACACATGGTTACACACACAATGTTGTGAGGTGACAGTGGCTGTGATGGTTAGAGATATGTTTGATGGTGTTAGTGGTGGTGGCTGTGTTGATAGTGATATTGGTAGTGTCATGCACTATTCTGTAGATGTTATTCATATTCATGCTATTGATGATGACAATAATGGCCTACAGGGTTTGCAATGGCTATAATGTTGATGTTATTGTTTACAATGTTGTTCATTATGTTATTAATGATATTGGTGATGATGTTATCAATGTCACCCACAACTGTTGGTGATGGCTATATCAGTGGTATTTTGCTAATGCTAATGATATTAAGAGTCTGTTATATCATTGTTGATGTTGGTGATATTGCCACATTAATGTTTTTTTAGTCATTATGTTATTGATGATGATGCTGATGTGGGTAATGTCGCCGCCATAATATTGGTGATGGCTATGACAGTATTGTCGGTATCATGTCTTTTTTAATGATATTTATGATGATATGTTAGTGATGCCAATGATGATGAGGCCTACATGCGTTGGTGATGTCGAAGCTGTTGGCCGAATGCAGGTGGTCGACGCGAGACTGCAGCTGGAAGGGCGCCATGGTCATGTTGGGGTCGCTGTTGTGCAGATAAATCCCGAAGCGGAACGCCTCGTACTCCTGTTCCATGTGCGGGATGAAGAGGGCTCCTGGAGACACGCGAGGCCACACAGAGGCATGGTGAATGGGACATCAGGACATGCTGAGATAGGTAACACGCAGAGACACGTGGGGGAATGCCCAGACACATGACAAACTGAGACAGGGACACACAGAGACATGGGATACATTTAGACAAGAAGGGGACAAGGGAAACATGAACAGAGGTACATTCGAGAGTAAAATCTGGGAAAAACGTGAGGACATCATTAGGGACACACGAGGATGTAGATGGACACATGGAGAGACAGGGGAAACACAAAAATTAGTCGGGACAATGGGGACGAATAGAGGATCGTTGACTTAGGTTCGGGAGACACGGATACATAATGGGGGACTCACAGGTTTGCGAGGATACATTGAAACACATGGGAAGATAACAAGTGTTGAGATTCACACATCGATACTAAAGACAACACAGACAAGGGGACACGAAGTGATAACAAATGCACTGACTCCGACATGAAGGGGACATATGACAAATCCATTAGGGACACGAAAACAGGGATATGCTGGGCATACGAGAAGAATACGGTGAAACAAAAAATACAATGACTCACACGAATAGTTACAGGGTCACACAGTGAGACAGAGATTAGAGGGAGATACATGAGCAACAAGAACATAATATACGAGTTGAGAGGTACACAGGTCCACTATGGGATTAAAGGAAGTCAAGAGGACATAGAAGACGTAGACAATGAATACAGTTACATGCTGGGTCACAGGGACATACACATTTGAGGGAGACATAGGAGACACGAGGACGTGAGAGTGTCTATCTTATATTTATATCTGTTCAGACGCCTGGGGACATGAGAGGGGATACGATGGGACACGTAGATATGTGAGGACATGGAAACATGAGGGAGACAATCCAATGAATTTTGAGGTGGGTGATTTGTTACCACCGCCACAATTAAAATCTTTTATTTACAATCTTTTACCAACCTGCATGGTGAAGTATGGTCAAAGGAATAAAGAAGGCTAATGGGCATCACACCCTTCCTTCCAGTAAACTAAAGGAATAACGTCGCCTTCCTGGAGTAGTAGGCAATAGAGGAGGAGGCCGCGTGCTCCGTGACAGGAAATGGGGCTCTTATAATAATAATCATCATTGAGCCTCTGACCTACACGAACTCTCACTCCAACACAAACCCTAACTCTAGTCCCTCGACCAAAACATTGTCCCCCCCCATTGTAAATATTTTATATAGTGAGGTATATTATTAAGTTACAAATTGGATATCACATTTTGGATATTTAATGGTGCAACATATAAAGAAAATGCTGATATAAAAGAACCAACGTTTTATATGATCAGCAAAAAAAGGCCTTCATCCAGCACTATATTGATCAAAGTGCTGACCATTTCTTTTTTTTCCTTCCCCAACCAGTGTGGAGCAAAGATGTGGCGCTATGAACCCAGCAACCTGGGTGGGACTCCTGGCTATGGCTAAGATCCTTGACGAGTGACATCTCCTCTGGTCTTAGGCCCCTTGCTGAGCCAAACCGCACTGACCAGCGTGGTGAAGCAAAATCAAACAGCCCCCCATGCCCGACACAGCATGGAGAGGCCTTCATCCAACATTGGATTGATTAATGGCAATGTGCTGTTGCCCGGTTGTAAATAAAATAATTATTTACAACCGGGAGATGGCTTATTGATGCAAAAAACAATGTTCAATGGAGACTGGGGCTTGAAAACAAATAGGACAAAATGGTGAAAATATAAAAGCCACAAAACAAAAAACAGTGGAGCCGTGGGAACGTTTAAAAACACATTATTTTAAATGTATGTACACATTTTAAAAAAATTATAATAAACGGTCAGAAAAGTCTAAATGGTTTCCTCTTCAATTGAGATTAGATTACAACCCTCAACCACTGGTGTAAATTCCACGCTTCTATGCCCAGGACTTGTATGTCCAAAGGACAATCACTGTTGACTTCCCCCACAAACTGGTACTCGTTTTAATGACCCCAGAGGGATGATTGGGATTAATTAACTGCTGTCTTTCTGACTTTAAGTCAAGCGCTATTCCGACATGCCATGCAGATGGTAAATTACACTTTCAACTAAGGTTGAAAGCGTTATAAAAGGGTCTCAAGTGCTATTCACCCTGTCTGTAACGTGGGGGAAGGGTGAGGCATCCATCATGACTCATGCAAATATGGCTTCAGTACTGTTAATTAAATTCAACCGAAAACAAACGCATGCTGGAACGCATTACATAATCCATGCATATGCGTATGTTTTCCGACTGAATTATTTTTTTACAATCTATTTCTTGCTTTTTAAAATACTTATCTCAATCGATGCTAACTAATTCAAAGGAATGATGGCTGGTGGTTAAGAGTAGAAGGCAGACATGGAGACATGCACAAATACACTTGTAGACAGTATAACACGTAGGCTTTCGCGACCAATAGTATCCATAATAGAGGTTATTTGGATTAGATCACGTAAATATAAATGTGTCGTTAAACCCGCCACCACCCGATACAGCCAATTAGTTAGGACACTTGTAGACAAATATAGATACGGGCACAAAGGCATGGAGATATAGGAGCACATGAGAGACATATAAAGGCAAGGGGACACGTGGCAACACAGGAACACTAAAATAACAGGGGCACATTGAAACAGAGACATTGGGACAGAGAGACAAAGAGACACGAGGACACGTGGAGACATGGAGAATCGGGATACATGAAGAAATTGTAAACATATAGAGACATGGAGAAATTCATACACGGGGAGAAACAAGGGTCTTCCACGAAGCTCATGGTCCTCCCGAAACCGCATGAGGACAAACCATGGCAGATGTGGATACCTGATGCACATACGGAATTTTTTTTTAATTGTCCAGTGTGCAGCTGTGGTCATCCAGGACGGACCGTGCAACATATAACGACGCAATCCCTGATCCACAAATACGAAGGAGACGAAACAGCGATACACTCCGCTGCTCCTGACACGGTTATCTGGCTTGACCACCTGAATGTGAAATTGTCGTTGTTGCTCTGCATCGACATCAGCAGGCATACGAAAGAAGACGACGAGACAACAGAGAGACACACGGCGACATGCATGCGTTGTCCACAGGAAGCACCCCTCCCCCCACCCTGTCAATGGGTGAGAGGAGGGGTTGTGCCCCCGGGGCATCTCCATCGCTTAATTGAACCATCGACCCAGCTTTAGATAATCACACACTCATACACACACACAGTCATATACATAACAAAGACAAAGATCATCCGTATAGCTTTAACAGACTGTAGGAGCAAGTACTGTTAGTGAGCACCTATGAAGGCCGGCACAACACAGCACCATGTCTGGCCGCCTTTGTTTCCCGAGTCGATCTAGGGAAGGCCCAAGAAACTGGTTCAGATCGTCACTGGAGGCGACCGTGAGCGGAAATCTAACTCGGGTGGTTGGGTTCGTAGCGCAGCGCGCTAACCACTACACTACGGCTGCCCACTCACTCCGCTCTCCATTCATACCCACACTCATATATACACACACACAGTCACAAACAAATAATTTACTTTAATAAGCAACCTTATACACAGAACACCCCTCGAGTACTGGCTTATTGATGATATCATAAGCCTTAACCAGGTCAAATAAAGCAGAGCTATAGGACCCATTGCAATTGCCTACACCTCTGCTGTAACAGATGGACAGGGAATATGGCGTCTGCTGGGGCACCCCTACCTGTAATCAAATTGGGCCTTCGCAAGCTTCTCAGCGTGCTTGGCAACACAATGAATAATCCTTTGCCAGGACCATTCTTGGCAAACTAAGGAGGGAAATGCCCTGGTGTTTTTTACAATGTGATCCCCTTTCTTAAAAAGGGGGCAACCAGTGCATCCTTCCAATCCTGCAGAACCTGTCCTGTGGTTCAATTAGATTGAACGATTTAAGTCAGGCATCTTGCACGCATTCACTACCCTGCTTCAGCAGTTCACTTTGGAGGTCATCCCTGTCCAACACTTTACCTGGTCTCAGGCTTCAGATTGCAGATGTCACATAAGCCAGACACTCACAAGGGGTAACTATTTTCTCCAACGTTTGAGGCTCAAAAACTCTCTAAGGTATAGTAATAGGGTTTTACCCTTTTATCTGGCACAAGGGTAAAAACCTATTACTATATCTTGTTACTGGCAAAGGAGGTCTCATAATTTAAGTGCTTACCCCGAGCTCTCAATACTCTGATAGTGCGCTGTTTTTGAGTTGTACGCCTTTTGGTGTCTTCTGGTCCAACACCAGTGGAGACTAAGAAAAGCCGTCTCGGGTGTGGACCAATCAAATTCAAGGACAGTGCATATTATCAGAGTTGTCTTTTTTGCAAACATGATCCCTTGTATAAAGGTGTCAGTTTTTGTGCCAGATAAAAGGGTAAAAAACTATTACTATATCTTGTTACTGGCAAAGGAGGTCTCATAATGTAAACTCTCTAAGGATCAGTCCTCCTTCCTCCCCCTTTGTCCCATGGTGCTGTATGGCTTGAGAAGTTATCCATATCTCTAGAACTCACAGGAATGTTCATCAAATCTACATACCTGATCTTGGGAGTTGATCAGATTGTCATTGTTTCCTTTCAGGATGGTAATAGGGGTGATGTTGAAAATACACTTTTTAGATGCTATTAAAGAGTATGTATGTTTAACTTATTTTGCACCGTTCGTAGCCAACCATGCTAATCTGAGGTGCGGGGCAAGGACAACAGACTAAACACAAAAATCTGTTTGAAAGAAATTAGTTTTCAAAGAGTGATTTGTTGTTATGGGCCATTGAGACAGTTTCCATCTCCTCAGGAATCGGCAACCACAAGATTTTGTTAGTGAAAAAAGACTCTAAACTTCTGAACGTAAGCCTCTTTATTCTTGGACATGGGATATTGTACATGTTGAGAATGCACCTGCCACTTTCAGATATCTGGAATACATCAGTCAGTTATTATGAGGAGGGCTTATTAGGCAT